TCTCTCTCTCTCTCTCTCACACACACACACACACACACACACACACACACACACACACACACACACACACACACACACACATTTTGAATGTATCTGGCCGAGTCCGTCAGTCATATATGTTAGTACAAATGGACTTGAATGTATACAACTGCCGAACAGGGCCAGATACAATCACATCAAGGGGTAAGTGGATGGGCGATGTCGAAGGGTGACTCCAAGAAACAAGCAATAGTGGATGGGCGATGTCAAAGGGTGACTCCAAGAAACAATCAATTAACTCACCGCGTTGCTTGCTGTGCAGATCGATGCTAAGTGGAGGGGTATTGTGCAAGGGTGATTCCAAGAACACGACCTGCCTGAATGACTTTCTTGACTTCTTCGGCCTATCTTGCGACTCGCTCCACTACTCGCATATGGGAGAAAGAGAAATACAGGACATGGAAAAAAGAAAAATAATGGCCATGTATCTTTCACTGTTCTAGCGGAAGATTCATTCTCATTTTGCACAATTCATGAGTAGTAAAGGGCGGCCCACTGTGACGCGGCACTAACTTGTACGGAAATTGGGCATAACGGCAGGGAAGGCCCCCCTACTGGTACCGGTTCGACACTGCGGAATAGAACGCCCGGGCGTTCTATACTTTTCTATTTACCAAGGTCCCCCTGTCCAAAAAGTTAGTCATTCTCTTCACAATACAACGCCCGGGCGTTGTAAACGAATATTACGCCTGTAGGGCTTTATATTCGTACATAACGCCCGGGCATTATTTTCGGGTGAAGACGGTAGTGCCAATAATATAAAGTCGCCGCTTCGTAATCAAATCACGGTCTCCGTCCTCCTCCAGAGACCCAAACAAACCAAAGTTGGGCCCACTGCGAAGACTTAAGTGAGATAATCCTCTAAGAGGGGGCCCTCAAAATAAGCCCCATGTGGTTTCAGTGTTCCAGACAGGTACAATGCAGTCTCAACTGCACCACAACTTCCAAAGGTTTGCCAAATCAAACCGCAAGTCCAAACCTCCTCCGATTATCCACACGGAGAAGTTCCAGGTATGCGAGCAGCAAACCGCCAGCGGCCCGAATCACGAACCCCAAGTTGGTTTCAAATGGTCCCAAAATGGTCCTAGGTGGTCCCACTCTCTTGCCCGCAGCGCCGGATGACTTCAAATGTAAAAAACTGCTTGCACCGAGCGCTCAAAAAAAAAAAAAAAAAAGTGACCGTAGGCAAAAAACCAAAAGTGCCACGAGTCCCAACGAGTGGACAACCACTCTGCCACACGCGCCCACTTCCAAGTTGTGCCGCTGGTCCGGACACCCAAGTAGTGCGGTCCCACGATGCCGCGAAGTGGTTCCCATAGTCACACTATTCCATCAATCAAGGAACGCGTGCTGCATTATAAAAGACAAATTACAACTTGTAGAGTTGGAAACCGCACTTGGAACTGGATCTCAACAGTCTTTGTAAGTACTAATACCTCCCCTAGACCACATCGGTGTGTTTCAATCATGACCAACCTATGTATACTACTCGCACAAAAGTAAACTGCATATTTTGTCAGGCAACGCCGTCCAGATCTAGCCCCACAACCAGGAACAACACCAGTTCTACTCGAAAATACAACTGGAACTACGAAGCAAGTAGAATAGAGATCGAGCGTACACAGCTGGAGCAGAAGGGGCAAGCGTTACCATGGTGTAAATCGTGCCACACCTGCAGATTTCCGGAAACCATAGAACATATATTTATGCAGTGTGCAGGGGCAGTTCTCATGTGGCGATGGTGGGACAAGATTTGGACCCTAGTGGCCACGGAGTCTAACTGGCCATGGGATTGGAGGACCATATTATGTGAAGCATGGTCCTCCGCCACTGGCAATACTTTTAAGAACAACATGTTCAGGTTATAGAGAAGGGCGGTGATGTGGGCCCTCTGGAGAAAACATTGCACACATACCATTGAGGGTGTCCGCATAGAAGGGGAAGAGGTAACAGAGACAATAAAGCAATATATTCAGCAAGAACTCATGGTACAGTGGCAGAAGGTTAAAGACCGACTCAACCTGTTTCACTCAGCACAAGATATAACACGAGCAATTCATCAATTCTTTGGGGACTGGTTGGGCAGTGAGAAGGGGGCTTGGATTGCAGGTGTTAGATGGGATGGAAAGCCTGCCCAGGG